CTTCTGGAATTTAGCATATCTGGTTAGACATGCTTTCCTAAAAGCTTCTGATCACATATACATTAACAAACTTCCAATTAATTGTGCACCAGGCAAAAATGCTTTTTGTTTCTGATCAGTGCCACAAAGTTAATGAATTATTTCCCCTACATAAAAATAGGATCTTTTCACCTCCACATAGATATTTGTAGAAAAGTCAATCTTCTCCATTTCTTCAAGTGCTTTTATCTCTTGATATAAATCTAAGTGTCTTTCCTTCAGGCTTGCAATTTAAATTAAAAATGAACAACACCAAAGAACATTCCATCATGTCTATTCACTGATTTGATTTGAATCTAAGACTTGTTCAGATACTTTGAATGCAATATTTCCCACCAGAGGAAAACAGTGCCGTATTTATAAATATAATGCATTCAAATCGCTACATGTTGCCCCTTAGCAATAAATATGAACAATGTCTACACGGTTAAGTATAACTTGAAAATAAAAGCAAGAATGAACAATTGCTATGATTAATTCCTATTCTGAACAGCATCAATATTTTGATGTCTATGCCAATAAAACATGCCATAACTACAAAAAAATACATGTTTCTAAGTAATATGCCAAAGTTAAATTATTTATTTCACAAACTGACAGTGACATGCTCAAAGTGCTGAACTGCAAAGCAAACTGACCACCATTTCTTAGACTTATACTTCCCCAATTGAGGGCAAATGAGCCCTAGAAAGATGCTTCGCAAAAGTCAGTCATTCTGGAGCAAGACACAAACGTAAACTGGTTTGGAGTTACATTGCAAAATCATAAATGGCCATCAGCACAAAAAAAAACAGTCCCTGCAATCCTTGTCAACTGTCATAAACGTGCATATTATTCTTGTTTTTGGGATTTAGATTTAAAATTAAGGCAAATGTATTTTTGGCCATTGTGAACGTTTTGCTTTCAAAGGTAAGAAAGTTATGTAGACAGTGACCAAAATACATCATTTCTATGACTGCAGTCAAATGCCTGGTTTATTCCTTCCAAACGTTAATTGATTTACACATGTTTATGTGGCTGGGTCTATGACAGATAGAATAAATGTATTAAGGCAACTAAATGCTGAATCGTTATTAGTTCTGACTTCCGAAAGGTTCAAAGGCTCAGTTCACATGAACCCAGGGCTCATTTAGAAAATAAATTCTCTTAGCAGGAGAACTTAATTGTTCTGTTTAATTTCGTTCAGCTGAACCAATCACCACAGAAGTGGTTTCCAGACAGACATTTAGGCCATTGGAATTGAGCAAGGTTCAAACCAGCACACTCAGAAAGGAATCTTTAAAAAAATATATTTCAGCAGTCCAGTTAAGTTCATTTTAACATTTGTGTTAAGACTTTTCTTATCTTATTCTTTGTGTGTAATAAACACACTGTTGCTCAAGACCACCAGCAGCCTTGTGTGAATACGCTTCAGTGACAAGAAGGTAAAAGGTACATTTGCCACAGTCTCACCTGAAGTAGGGCTGTTCTCTCATTCCAGAGACAACTGCTGATGGTTTAACCTGGGGGTCACCACACCATGGGCAAGGGGAGAAGTTGAGGAGCAGAGTCTTTCATGATAACCTCAGCCAGAGTCAGAATTGAACCCTCCCTGTTGGCATTCTTTTGCACTGTAATCCAGCTGTCCAGTCAACCGAGCTCCTGGTGACTAACAACCATGCTCACCAACTGCAGCAATAACCGTATGATCTATCAAACCAGGCTTCATTCTAGGATCTGACTTCAGTAGTATCACCATCAGCTGGGATCATAATACGAAACCAAAGACTTCTTACATAAAAAAGGTACAGATTAACGGCTCAAATTACGAACAATATGGAAATTCAGCACACAAGGACATAGGATTTGCCTTAGTAACTGAAACTTGAATTCTGAATTTATCAAATCACCACACTTATGAAAATGTTTCCTGGTTTAGGCATAAGAACAATACATCATTTTAAAAAGGCAACCATTTCTTTGTCTTCCATGTCAAAACTGCAAATCACAAGGTAGGAACAGATCTTTTTAAGCAGAATTCCTACCAAACCTCAATCATGAAGAACTCCAGCTCCCAAGGTTGCTTTCATGACTATTCCAAAAAAATCAAAAAGAAAGATTTTGTAACAACAGAAGTTCTCCAACCTCAGCTTTGAAGTTCACCATTCAACATTTAGATATCTTTCAAGTGGGACAGATTCAGATCACTCAGTAACCTGCAATGCAGATTTTTAAAACAGAAATGACCAGTTTAATCATTTCCATGAAACACTGATGGCCTGCTCTTAAATTACAGTGGAAGGTTGCTGCAGTTGGTGTGCAGCACAGAGGCCACAAAGCCAGCTATTGGAAAGGATTATACAACTTAGATTTAAAATGCATTTGGTGATTTGACTCACCAATCTGCCATTAGCACTTTTGCATCAATAGAGTTGAAGCAAAACTGCAGCCCTAGAATGTCAAGAAACAAGACTTGGGGACTACATTCAGTCACGTAAAGTGAATTTAAACAATTTGCAATATCACCGATGTCAGATAATGCAATCACACACTCCCTACTTAAGAGTAGAATAATGTTAGCTAGCAGTATGCAGAATGAAAAGAAGCGTGCAACCACACAACTTCACCAGAGCAGTTTGACAGAATTGAAGTTTGTGTTTTGCTATATTACTAAAATAAATTCCATGGATATTTCCTTTCTCTACTATTTGTAATTTCTTCTGGTGCATAGAGCCTATGGGTGGATGGAACTTCAGGAACCTGCATAAAGTTGAAATACATGTCCCAATACTTGCAGCATATCTTAATCAAATGAAGCAAACATGCTAAATATTATAATTTAAAAGCTTAATTTGAAGTAAGGGAATCAGGACACTGAGGTTCAAAAACTGCAGTTGGAAATACCTACTGCAGATGATTTCACAGTTTTTGGGATTGTGCAGTTGCTGAAAATAATACAACTGCTCAAAATGTAAAGCAATTTTATCACGTTATAGCTGAAGTTTACATGTCAAATTACTTTTGACAATATTAATTTGGCCGTCTTCACTCTCCTAACAAAATGAATTTACCCTGACCTACACAATCTGTGCTTTACTGTTCCCAAATAATTCTTCTGCTTAAGAATTAACAAATCAGTAGTTCCAAAAAACCCAACTGCATTCCGTCTCTCTTCCAATCCCCAACAAATCATATCACTTTGGCAGGCATAAAGCTTTTTTCACAACCTGATTACATTCACAAATCTCCAACTCCCACATTGAAACATTCATACTGCTGCAAGGAAATGTAACCTCTGATGATTGTACCCTTAAAAAATTTAAAAAAGAACTTTTCTTCAAATCTACAAAGTTTGCACTGTTGCACCTTTCACAACTACTCAAAGAATGATACAGTGAATGAAGTATTTTTGAAGTGTTGCAAATGCAGAACCAATTTGCACAAATCAAGCTCTCACAGCCAATGTGTCAGTGACCAGATGTTTTTGAGATGTTGATCAAGGGGTAAACATTCACTTGGACACCAGAATTTACTCCCAGACCTTCAGTGAATTGGTGCCAAAATGTTTCTGTCCATTCAAGCAGTCAGACGGCCTTTCATGTGCATGATGCCATATCTAACAATGTCCTTCAGAACAGTATTGCAGTGCCATCCTCGATTTTTAGGTGCTCCAATACTGGACTGGGGTTGGTCCGGCAAGCCTGTCTCATCCCAACACAATGCTTGTCATTAACCATATCCTACCCCCTCCCCCTCAAGTCACACATTCACCTACAAAAGATGAAAGGAAACTTTGAGGAATTGGTTCTTTAAATCTGTGATCTAACTAGTATTTCTTAATCAATAGCAAGGGTTTAAAATTTTCAACATTATGAATTTAACAATAGGTGTGAACTAATCAAAATCTGATGAAATCTGTATACGTTTGTCAAGAGGCACAAAACTTCATTCATTTTTCTTTCACTATTTTAAAACAAAACATCTGATCCTAGTACACAGGACAAATTCTGTCATCGTAGGGGAGCACAATATTGGTTGCACTCAACCTAGTTAATTCAACTTGGAGTAAAGCTATTCCTGTTAGTGGAAAGCTTGCTCTTCTAACTATGTTCAAAACATCTGTTTTGAAAAGCATTGTCGTCATCTCTAGTATCAAAAGCAGGTAATTAGGTTAATTTAGTTGTTAGCTAAAAAGGAACACAAAAAAAGGTACAGTACCAAAATTATCAAACAAGGATTATACCACAGGTTTACCAGGACATGACCGAAGGTTTTACGACTCTATGTTGGAGTGAATGACCACCACTTTTATACATTAAACAACCGTGTCAAAACAAAATGAAATGCCATATTGAGAAATTCAAGACAACAATGCATCAGGACTTCAAAATGTGCACATTTTCCATTTATGTAAGCAAAGCATTAACAAACGTAAAACATATTCGTGCACCATTAGGTGAGCAATAAGGTGTGAGTCAAGTCAGAAGCTTGGACACACATGTCCCTCGGTGATCAGGTTACCAAACGCCAGCGTCAGCAAAACTATCAGCTGGACCAAAACACAGTTGGACCCTCAACTGTCAATTTCATGAAAATTAAGTGTTACTTTTGGAGGGGAAATAGAAAGGGGGACGTTTGGCAAGGGAAACAAAATTATTTTGGATGTTTTCTTTAACACAGATTTATATTTTCGCAAGGAAATTAAACGCCAGACAAAAATAGGTTAGAAGAAAAAAAGGAGACGCCGATTCTTGGGAGTTCCTGTCAACAGCAGCAGCTCGTCCCACAGCCCAGCTTCCAGACTGAAATGAACTATCCCGAGGCCGGTCCGAAACGAGGAAGGGAAAGATTGGCTTGTCCCGTTGTTGTCAATGCTAGGCCTCGGGTACATTCGTTTGTAGTTACTTTTCCCGTGTTTCTTAACCCTCCTCATTCCCGTGTGCGAGGGATGTGACGGTGGCTGCAAAATAGCTCCAACTCACCTCGTCTTCCTTGTGGTTCCGGATGCCACGTACCAGGTCCTGCAAATTCTTGTCAAACATTCGGTCAATGCTACCTTTCACGATTTTCAGAGCCATGTTCCTTCGGGTCGGCTTTCTCCGGGATCTTCTTGAGCACTGCACAAACCCTTCTCCCTTTCACCGACCACCGATGTTGGGACACATGCCAGTTTTTCCTCTCCTGAATCTACACAACCGTGGAAAGAGGATGTAAAGAGTGAATCAGCGGAGCCACAGCAATGAATTATATTGCCTCCGCACTGTTCCCCCTTACAGGTTACAAATAGCAACAGAAAATGGCCGCGGCTGGGCTAGCGTCAGGTGACCAACTGCGGGACTGGAAAGGGGGAGGAGAAAGGAAGGAACGCGGCGGGGACTGGGGGTGGAGCCTAGAAATCAGGGGGCGGGGCCTGGAGAGAGGTGGGGTCCTGACTTGGAGGGGGTGGGGCCTGTGCAGTTCACTGGACGGATTCTCAGCGTCCTTCAGTCGCGGGCAGGGGGCGAGGCCTTTGGCAGGAGAAGGCGGGACGGATGGTGGATGTGGTCTGGCCTGCCGTGGGCGGGGATTTAGTCGGGAGAGGGCGTGGCCTAGGGACGGGCGCCCATGACGGGGCGCAGACGGAAACAGGGCGGGCCTTTGCAGTGGGCGGGGCCAGTGTTGAACGGTGTTGGACGTATAATGAAACGTGACGGGAAGGATGGGGCGGGGCTGGGCGCGGAAGGTGGGGCCTGGAGTGGGCGGTAGCCGCATCCGTGGGTGGGCACTGCGACTGGAGTGGGCGGGGCGTTGATAGGGGTGGAAGCTTGAGGCGGTGGACTGTGGGCCAGCATTGACAGGGCTGGGCGATGTTGCTCAATCTTCTTCACAATTATTGATATCTCCACTCAGAATCTTCGTTTCCCAAGCTTGCTTTCTTGCATATGAAAGTTTATAGTCTCACCGTTGTTTTCTGGTTTCCTTTGTCAGCATGATTTTGTGGTGTTCAGTTGGGCCATGCGTATTGAACTGAGTCAGCTGAGTATGAAGATACGAATTGGGAACAGATGTAGGCCACTCGCTCCTCAAGCCTGCTCTGCGATTCAATTAGATCATAAGTGATCTGATTACTCCACATTTCCACCTGACCCAATAATCTTTCACCCATTTGGTCGTCAAGTATCTCATCTGCATCAACCCTAAAACATTCAAAGACCACCTGACCCAATAATCTTTCACCCATTTGGTCGTCAAGTATCTCATCTGCATCAACCCTAAAACATTCAAAGACTCTGATTTTCAGATTTCTGATTTTCAGTCCAGTTTACATAGAAACATGGAAAATAGGAACAGAATGCCGTTCAGCCTTTGGAGCTTGCTCTGCCATTCAGTATGATCATGGCTGTCCCTGTTTTCTCTCCATTTGCTTTGATCCTTTTGGTCCTAAGAGGAAGTATATATAATATGTATAACTTTCTTGAAAGTGTTCAATGTTTCGGTTTCAGCAGTTTCCTTTGGCAGAGAATTCCACAAGCTCATTACCCTCTGGGTGAAGAAATTTCTTCACATCTCAATCCTGAGAGGCCAACCCTTTATTCTTAGACTGAGACCGCTAGTTCTGGACTCTACGGTCGTCAAGAACATCCTTCCTGCACCCTAATTCTGTTAGAATTTCATAGGTTTTTATGAGATCCCCCCCCCATCATACTTCTAAACTCTCACGAATATAGTCCTAACTGATCTCGTCTCTCACTGTACGTCAATCCCTCTATCCCAGGAATCAGTCTGGTAAACATTTCTTGCATTGACTCAACAGACACAATATCCTTCCTTGGGTAAGAAAACCTTACTGAGCTGCACACACGGTCCTGGTGTTGTCTTATAAATCTATTGTACAGTTGCAGCAGAACACTCCTGTTCCTGTTTTTGAACCCCCTCACTATTTTGTGATAGCAATGACGATGGAAAAGTGCCGCTGTTATTCCTTTTGAAATAAATAATCTCTTGCAATTGTGCACATGTGGAGACAGATGTAGAAGTTGCTGCCACTGATTCTAATTGTTTCACTAGGGCATACTGTTGAACTTCCTCAAACTGTGATCAACTTGAAATCACCAAACAGACAAAGAACTTTGTCTTTTATGTTGTAATATTGCTGTTAACCACCACCAGCCCTGACCCAAAGTCAGCAACTTGTTAATGAGGTGTGACTGTTTTTTTAATGTTGTACTACTGCTGAATAGTCTCTTTGGCTGTTGAAAACTAATTTCATATTTGTCTAAAATATTTTTTTCCATTCCATTTTAAGTTCAAAGTTTCCATTGTGATTTAAGCTTCAAATGTGTGTGACTTAAACATCTGTTTCACTGTAAGGCGAAGAATGGTCAGTGCAAAAATTTCCTGGTTTGCAGCCTGAAGACTATTTTAGTGTGATTCGTTGGTTAACGTCTTGTTGCTTAACACTGAGAGATCCCTTTGACAAGGAGTCAAATTGAAACTGAAGTCAGTAATAGCAAAATCCACAATACAGAAATTGCTCAATCTCGGAGGGTGTCTTTCTTCGAGCTTAGTGATAAGTGCCAATAGCTCTTTGAAGATCTGACTCACCACAGTAAATTTAGTGCTGCACATTGGGAAAGAATTTCTCCAGTGCCTATGTACCTCAACTCATTTGTTGTAATTGTAGGAAATATATCCATTCAAATATATGCTGATTGTAAATGCAGACGGAAACCACTCATCAAATGTGTGGCTGGATTTAATGGAGAAGATGGGGTTCTTGGTCTCTGGTTGGACAGCTGACGAAAGCTCTATGTCACAGGCACTTGACAGAGCGGTGGAGGGCCTTCTGCCAAGATCAAGGAAGTTCTACCCACTAAGAACCACCAGCCAGTCAGAGGTTAGCAGCCCTTCTACAGCAAGTAGTGCCACTGGGGAGGGGATGGCTGCTGCCAGTACACCACCAGATAAGATCCAGCATTGCTGATGGACCGGGGCACAGGTGAAGGATAGTAGGAGGCTATTCATGGGATGTGGAGTTTTAGTAAAAGGGCTTTGGGGGTCAACAGAAGAATGAGAAAGTTGCTGTTAGCAGGCCAACTCCCTTCTCAATGTGGATTCCTTAATCAGGCTATAAATACCTTTGAGAAAGGGAGCCCTTCACACTCTTGGAGGTGGCAAATAACCCCTCCAGAGTTCCATGTATGCTGTGCCTCCTGCCATCACTAGGGTAACACAAGCAGTAGTGGGATATGACCTAAAGTGGTTATTGTTATGAAGGCACTTTATATTTCTCAGTGGGAAGAAAAGTAGATCTATTTAAAGTTATATGGATTAGTTATTTTAAAAAAAACGTCTCTGGAAGGCCATCAGGCATTGAAAGCTTTTTGACAAGGCTTTGTTGGAATCATGAATCTTGTGAAAACCATTTCTATTGGTATAGACCACAAGTGTGCGGTAAATTCCACCAATGAACTAAAGTTGATTCAATGCCGCGATCCAATTAAGGGGGGTTATTGCTGGTTAAAATTCAGGTTGATGGCCCAATTTGCATCCTTAATATTTAGGCCCTATCTTACCAAACTCACCTAAAAAGCTGGATGTCAGGAAACCTCAACATCGAAACCAGATCGGGTACCTGGCATATTCTGCTCACCATTTACTCCAGGCAACTTCCACATTGCCCACAACCAAACCACTGTCCAAGGTATGCTCCAGAGTATGTCTGAGAAGTCTCTGACATCAAGCAATCTCAACATTTAAGTAGAACAGGGTCAAGTCCAAGCAAGATAAGCAAATACATCACAAAGCCAGTGAGTTCACACAGAATGATTTGCTATATAACATTTGCAATCTGATCTGCAAATGGAGATTGCTTTAGCATTACATATGAGACACACATTAACCTAAATGGAAAAAAATTCAGACTCCTTACTAAGCACATATCCATTGAAGTAACGGAGAATCCATCGTCATCACTGAACATCATTGCCACATGCTAGATTGTGACTTTACATTATGTGTCTTGCAATATTGTGCAGGAATTGTACAGAAAAAGAAAAGTGACATGAATTCTTTGTCTTCGGGTGGCAGATAATAATTACTCTGTCACATTTTAGAACTGAAACTATAAACAATGAAGCAGCTTCCTTAATGGTTAAGCAGCAGCATGAAAACAGCCCAATAATTTTCACATGATTAAAGAATTTGTAATATATTCTGTTTAACACAATTCATACATAAACACAGACTTTTCTTCGTCCACCTTGATAGAGTTTAAAAGGTTTAGAAAGTCTGCTTCGGACATACATCTCATGCCTGTTGAGGTCCAAAGCTAGGACAAGGACTTTAGAAGATTCCCTTCCGTAATTACACAAAGCTTTGAAAATTAAAGTAATGGTTTGTTGACCTCAATCTAGATACTCAGCTTGAACCTAATTGCATGTCTTAACTAACCCATTATTTACATGTTTGATTGCAGGACCAAGAAATCATGGATGGAATTTACTGCACTCCTATGGTGAGTAGTGGATGAGAATTCCCACAGCCTTCTTCCTTCCACCCCATTTAATTTCATGAGGGAAAGGCCTGTGGATGATCTTCCCACCTTGTTGCAATTGATGTTCTTAAAGGGGCAATTACTACTGTTATGACCTAGATTGGAGGAGTACAGTATCCCTCTAATCCCACTACTTAAGGTGTCACAACATAAAATTTACTAATTGTACCCAAGTCCAGTTAACAGTCAATTGTGTACTTACTCTGTATTAGCCCTGGAATGAAAAGATTCATCAACCAAGTCTCATTAAGTGAAACAAAATTATTGATATATTATGAAACAAAATCTGTTCAACTAAGATGCAGAAATTTGTAATATGAAAAGATAAACATTTCCCCCATTAAATAATCCAAAACACACATACCTACAAACACGTTGGGTAAAGGGGGTATATTGGATTTCTCACTGTAGAGATTCACTAGCTAAAGAATGCTTTTCTTTTTAAAATGTCAATCTGGTTTTTGCGCATGTGTGGTCAAGTCACTAATATACACAGTTGTCTCTGGAGTCTTGACAGACATGACTTGCTCAGGAATCACAGCATTATGAAGTTCTTCTTGTTGCTCTTCAGAAACAGGAGAGACCCACTGGGCACAGTCTTCCTCATAGGCTTCTTGTCTCTGAATAATTCTAGACACCAAAAGAACTCTCCAAACCACTCACTGTTCAAACAGTAGTGGTTTATAGCAATACAAATGGTTTTCACAAGACTCGTGATTCCAAAAAATCTTGTCAAAAGGTTTTCAATGGCTAATAGCCTTCCAGAGACCTTTTCTTCAAATAACTAATCCAGATACCCAC